CTCAGAGGCGATTAATGCGAACGTCGTCCGCGACTGTTCTGGCCGTTTCGCTCGGGACATCCTCGAAATTCTGAAAATCGGTGGCACCCCTCACGCAGATCGTGACGTCAGGGTCCAAAAACACATTGGAATTTCAACATTTTAACATAAAACCTTCAAACACACATGGTAATTTCAATAATTGTGATCCCGATTCTCAGAGAATGGCGGTTTCGCCTGAGACATCCTCCCAAAATCGAGCCCCAGACCCCTCCTCGGAGCCTCCTGGGGGCCTCCTGGAACCTCCTGGGGCCTCCTGGGGCTTTCTGGACCTTCTGGTACCCCAGACCCCGCCTCGGAGCCTCCTGGAGTTCTCCTGGGCCTGCTGAGGCCGCCTGGGGCCTCCTGGGGCCTCCTGGGCCTTCAGAACTACATGCACACACAGAGACACAAATCACGCCCAACACATCACACGCTAGACAAACATAACATACACACACACACACAACACCGACAACACACAAAAAGCACGCACCACACAAAGCACACATCACACACAACACTCGCAATCCTGGGGCCTCCTGGAGCCTCTTCTGGTATCCAAGTCGGGCCTCGTGAGGCTTCCTGGGGGGCCCTGGTACACACATCGCAAGGTGTGGCAACCCCACTTGCGCTCGAGTGCGACTTCGCTGTTGCATGTCACTCCTGCTTCAAACGCCCCTTCAGCTTGTTGTATGAGCCTGGGCACACACGTGCCACTTGTATATATGTATACACAACTATATGCATAGGTGTGTATGCGTGCATGCATGCATACATGCATGTACGTATGCATCTATATTCACAAACACAATGGCGTGTGTTTATGTGCATACACATACATACAAACCAAGGGGACGATGGTACATAGGTATGTGTTAGACTGCCCATCTGCCCTCGAGAGTGACCTCGGAATGATCCCCGCGACGGTGGCGACGATCCAAGCCGAATGTTCGGACCAGCCGAACGGTCTTACGCTCCTTTTTGACGCGTCTCGGTGTCAGTTGTGTCCGTACCGGGGCAACATTGGGCATTATTGGCGGCCTTGGTACCGTTCTTTGGCCGTGTTTGTATGCCATCTTGGGCGTCATGGGGGCTTTGGAAATCGAAAGGGCTGCGTCGAGAGACCCGATGGTCCCGAAGAGGGGGGTGTTGGAGCCAACACTTGGGCGGCATCGCGTGAAAAGCTCCGAATCGCAGCCACGCAGCTTTGAGGTTGCAAAAGGGCACGGCTGCGGACATCCAACACGCGTGTCGCACACAGGCGAACACACAGAAGGCGCAGGACGACCACAGTGGACATGTACTGTGAAGGCCTTGCGACCAGTGCCGCCGACCCTTTACAGTCGGGGCCCTGAAGAAGAAACCCTTTTCGTTGGGGAGGGGCTCCGCGTTCCTTACGTGTTTCGCAGCTTGCCTCAGGGTTTCCTAGGTTTTCGACAGGAAATCGAAGTTCAACTTATGGAAAATAGTGGCCTCGTTCCTTATCTGGGGTTCCTTAGGTCAAGGCCCCGACTGTATGCGAGGAGGACGGGGAGAGAGAACACGTGGGCGAGGCGAGGGGTGGCCTCTCTTGGGTCTTCCAGGGCCTCTTGGGGGTTTCTCTTGGGAGCCTCATGAGGGGGAGCCTAAGACCCGGGTTTGCCAGGACTCGGGTTCGCCATCGTTTTTTGACGACCGCGCCTCGGATTTTGACGAGGAGGAGTTTCGTGGGATGCCTGCAGCGGGAGGCCTCGTCAAAACGCAGGCTCGGCCTCGTCATTTTTTTGACGACCTCGTCGGGGATTTCCGAGTCCCCTGTACCCAGGTCTTACGTCTCCCTGACTCATGAGGGCCTTTTGGGTCTTCCTGGGGCCTGTCGGTGGCCTCCAGGGGCCTCCTGTGGAGCCTCTTGGGGGCCTCTCGGGGCCTCCTGGGAGGCTCTCTGGGGCCGAAGGTTCCAAAGCTCACTTAAAGTCCCCTGTCTGGACACGCTCTGGGAGCCGTCTTGGGGGCCTCTTGGGCCGTCTTGGAGGCCTCTTGGGCTTTCTGGGGGCCCCCTTGAGCCGTTTCGGGGCCTTCTTGGAGACTTATTTTGTAGCCTCGGGAAGCCAGAAGCCGGGAAGGCGAGAACACCAAAATCAGTCAAACATGAGGAACATATATGAGTTTTACATTTTGGAGGCCTCTTGGAGGTGTCTTGGGCCGTCTGGATGCCATCTTTGGCGTCTGGGACGGATAATTCTGCGATTCGGGGCCTTCTTGGACCTTCTTGGAGGCCTCTGGGAGCACTCTTGGCCCGTCTTGGGTTTTTTGGGGCCCCTGAACCCCCTGGGGGATGGTATTCTGACCCGCGACCCCCTTCGACACACCTCTCGACTCCCCCCCCGCACACGCGAGGCGCACACAGTTAAGCGAAACACAGAAGGCGCAGAGCAACCACAGTGATCATGTATTCTCACATTTTGGGCACATGAATTACGCACTCAGAGCATACACTGAG